TGTGTGTGTGTGTGGTTGTTTGTGTGTGTGTGTGTGTGTGTGTGTCTGTGTGTGTGTGTGTGTGTGTGTCTGTGTGTGTGTGTGTGTGTGTCTCTGTGTGTGTGTCTCTGTGTGTGTGTGTCTGTGTCTCTGTGTGTGTGTCTCTGTGTGTGTGTGTCTGTGTCTCTGTGTGTGTGTCTCTGTGTCCGTGTCTCTGTGTCTGTGTCTCTGTGTGTCTGTGTGTGTGTGTGTCTCTGTGTGTGTGTGTGTCTGTGTCTCTGTGTGTGTGTGTGTGTGTGTGTGTGTGTGTGTGTGTGTGTGTGTGTGTGTGTCTGTGTGTGAGTCCGTGTCTCTGTGTGTGTGTGTGTGTCTGTGTGTGTGTCCGTGTGTCTCTTTTACAACTCCTGTAACTGGTAGAAAAAGTACCACACAGCTTTTGCAATGAAAATAGCCTCAGCTGCCGACTTGAAATGTCTATTACCTACATGGAAATCTTTCCCTTCTCATGCAAGTTATAACTGTCATCATCTGTGTGCACATTCACATTAGCATTTTCTTTTTGCATGGAAGATTTGACGCACATGGCCCACATTTCTTCAAAGATATTGAATAAAGGCCTTTTGGTGGGTAAGCTTCGCATTTTCTTACTCCTCCTTTTATTGAATAGATCATTATCTCTGTCTGCCCTGCTGAAAGAAAAAAAAGTGAAAAGCAGCTTAAGCTGTTGACTGGTCTTCGCTGGTCTTCCATCCTAGTCAGAGCAGGTTTAGGTCTTAGAGTGTTTTTCATCAGCAGGGGGATCATAAAAACAGTGTTGACATTACTTATTTGTAAAGCTAGTGTTTCTGGGGACATGCTAGCATGCTAGATTGCTGAGAAAATCAGGCAAATGACCAAGATGGTCAGCGGTAACACTGTTTCAATATGTTGATTGAACTGAAGATGGGGCAATTATTAAAAAATGACTGTGATTAAGAGCGCAAAAATACTGAACTAACGTATATGTGCCTTAAAAATACTTTAAAACAATCCGAGTACAAAATGTGTCGGTATGTGCCTAATGAAATTTAGCAATTTGCAATTGTGTTTCTGTGCCTGGTAGTAAAAGAAATATTTGCAAAAGCGCTCTATGTTTTTAATCATTAATTATGTAAAAGAGGACCTATACAGAGAGGGGGAAAAACACATTTATTCGGGTCAGACTGCAGTATGTTATTTATCTACACTATGTGTCCATATAGCACAAAAGGCTATGTGGCGAAATTTAATACAAAGGGCTTTGGGTTTGCAAATAATCATCCTAAATATAAGAAACAATAACAGTATTGGGTTGCTTTAGTAAGCAGCGTTACAAAGAAGTCATAAAACAAATACCAACGGGCACCAATAGATGGCAGCAGTGTAATGTAATTGCAGTGTGAAATGCAAACATTAATTGTGAGCCAAGCACATGTCAAGCAGACCGTTTAAAGAGCCAGCTATTCCCGTGATGGGCTGTTCTTCCTGCTGTTTTCATAAAGGTACAAAAAAATGCACAGTTCAAGACCAGAATGCAAAGGGCTTTCATAATGAAGTAACCCTTGTCTCATGTAATATCACACTCCATCAGTTCAACTAAAGCATACAGTAGACTTGGCCTTAATCATAGAGATGCTATAGCTTGATCTTTGTGGTCCTGGCCTAAAAACACCTGAGTGTCATTAACTGAGTGCACCATAAATTGCCCCTTCAGAGACCCCCACTCCCACGCTCATCTAATACAACACTGATTTCTATTCCCGGGTATTGCTCATTGCGTGACCCGGTAACGGGTTGAGAAAGCTGCTAAGCAGCGACTCGTTTTATCGACTCGAATCGGTTCAGGACGAGTCGTTCACTCACCCCAGGTGTTGACAAGTGAGTGGCCTTTTGTGCTACCAGCAACTCATCATTCGATTCATCAGAAATTACTTGCCGTGTGACCAAAACAAATCTCAAGATCCTTTATTAAAATTTGACGTCTACAAATCAACTATTTTCTGCTCGCCGACAGTGAAATGGATATGTCACCCCCAAAAAAATTTTTTTTAGCCTAACCTTCTGCTGAAAACAAAAGAAGATATTTTGAAGAATGTGTGAAACCAAACAGTTGCCGGTAGCCATTGACTTCCACAGAGTTTGTTTGTTTCATACTTATATGGAAGTCAATGGCTACCGGCAACTGTTTGGAACAACGAGGACGAGTAACTGATGACAGCATATCCATTTTGGGGTGAACTATCCCTTTAAGAAGAATTAATAAATGAATAAATTCATGTATTTATTTATTTATTTCAATCAGACTTTAAAGATCTGGAGCATTTAAAACTGCATACAGCCAATCAGATCAAGATATTAATAATAACAATAATACAGTTAGTAGCCTAAATAAAAATCCATAATGATTTCCATTAACACTCTTGCGTCATTTTAATTGTTTGGTCGTTGTTGTTGTTTTTTTTCTTCATAATTCTCCACCCCCTTTCTATTAATTTCCTTGATGTGAATCAGACTGAGAGAGAGTCGAGAATGAGTCAATTCGAGAACAATTCGTTCATTTAAAGAT